AAAAAAAAAAAAAAAAAAAAAAAAAAAAAAAAAAAAAAAAAAAAAAAACAATATGGTAGCTAAAAACTTTTTAGCCTAAGGTTAATACACAGGTGTGTGTGGCAAGGTGAAGGGAATATTTATACAGCTGTGTAGCAAAACTCAATGTTTCAGTTCAGCTTTGCCTTAATGTCAAATGATGCAACAGTCTAGTTGGATATTGTGTTTGCTATTCTTCAAACACCTAAGACACTAAACACTCCAATTCACTAACAGATGGGAAAATCCACAAAATCAAAATGCTTTATTTTTGTTCCATTTTTTAAGTTCCATTTTCAATTTTCATAACACGCAGGTCAAGTACGAAAACCAGCATTATCGGGCAATTATTATAAATGTTATGCTGTTTGTTTTGTTTTTTTCACTTTTTTCAGCATATATGCAACATTATAACACGATAAGTGGAAAATCGCTTTTCCTTTTAGATTAAAACTTAAAGAAGTGATGAATATTCCTAATACGCAGGTCACGTTCGAAAATCGGCTTCAATTGGACTATTTTTTCAAACGTTGTGCGTTTTTTTCCTTTATTTAGCATATATGCAACACTGATAACGTATTTTAAGAAAACCCGATTAGCCTTCAGTCTTGCAACTCACAGGAGTGATCAGTCTGACTAGTATATAGTTCATGTTTGAAAAAAGTTAAGTTTTGATGAAATTATTAGCCCTTTTTGCATATAAATCGTTTTTTCATCATATTTAATTCTTAGGCATATTAACAGTCTCATTATTGAACTCATTAGATATCTAATTGTATTCTTTTGACATTTTCTGCATCTTTACAATGTTGTTAGTTGATTATATAAAAATGATGGTAAACCTGTTATTGTGTATTGTGTAACTAAGTGTCAAAATGGAAATTAACTTATATCATTAAAGTTTGTCAGGTTCAATCATTCACTATGTTCAGAATCTCAGAATGGAGCAAATTGGATATTTAAAATTGTTCTATTGATATTTTTCCTATGTCAACAATTTCCCTAGTTGATTATTTAAAAACGACGGTAAACTGATTATTTTGTTTTATGTAAAGAAAGGTGTTGAAAATAGAAAGAAAATTATTTCAGTACATTTATCTGTTGTTTACAATTTGGCATTTTGAAGGTGTGACTCTGAACTTTCATGACCTTGAAGACCATTCCATGTTAAAATTTCTGAATATCCATGATACTTCTACTTTATTATCAGAAAAATGATGGTCATTATGCTGTTAAGCATTATGTAATATTGCATCAAAATTGAAGACAACCCTATTTTTGGCACTACCTCCATAGTGACCATTTAAAGAAAAGCATATCACTTACTCTTCTCAAATTTACAGAAAAGTAGCATAGGACTAAATGCAGCTTCAGTTGGAAAACCTGTTTTATCAATTAACTTTCTGGAAATTATATAGTTTTTTATGAGAATTAAAATTTTCACATATCGACATTTTCAAGGTGTGACTTTGAAGTTCTATTGGCTTGAAGACCTTTGCTAGTCATATTTTCTGAATATCCATGATACTTTTACTTTATTATTAAAATTAATGGTAATTATGATGTTAAGCATTATGTTATATTGCTTGAAAGTTGAAGAAAACCCTATTTTGGACTCTGCTGCCAGGATGACGATTAAGGGAAAACCATGTAACTTATAATACTTAAACTTACTGAAAAGTTTCAAGTGCAGCTTCTTTTTGGGAAATCAGTGTGATTGTTTTTGTTTTGAAATTAATGCAGTTCTATAGAGTGCTATATGGTGCCACAGTAAATGGATGGCGGTCAGTATGTTATTGCCCTTTGGGTAATCACTAGCTAAATTCAGGACTATTTAGTATAATGTAATCATTTGCCTAATAGATTACATAAAACACACGTTGAGATTTCATTGCAAAGTCCCATACCTCTCTTAACTGCGTCACATAGTTATATGTGGTACTCCAATGAATTTGATGTAAGTGTATTTTTGTTTAATAATGGTTTGGCATCAATGTCGTAACGTTTTAAGTTTAAAAGCGCTGTAAAAGATTGCCAATTACAATTAATCTTAAATGGACATGTCTCTCCTGGTCTTGTTTAACAGACGTATCATGTTGTACGGGTATGGAATCACAGGCATGGATATCCTGTTCAGTTCTTGCATCTACAAAATAAAGAAAAAAAATATTTAAAAAGATTGTGATTGTACACAAAAACAGCCTGATTCTCACATAAATATAATGCAAGTAAAATAATCAAGAATAAAGTTTCTACAAAAGATGTGTTTTTAACTCCATCTTAAAGTTAGCATTTGATTCAATTTAGAACCTATCAACTGGTAGCAGATTCCATTCTATTGGACCAGCTGACGTAAAGAGATGGCCCCTTATGTTAAAAATCCAAACAAATGCCTCATACCTGTTCCTGTGTGAGCTCCCAGCCAGTGGAGGCCCCGATATTGTCCTCCAATTGTGATATCTTGGTGGCTCCTATTATCACAGCAGACACTGTGGGTCTCTGATACAACCANCCAAACATAATATCTCATACCTGTTCCTGTGTGAGCTCCCAGCCAGTAGAAACCCCAAACATAATATCTCATACCTGTTCCTGTGTGAGCTCCCAGCCAGTGGAGGCCCCGATATTGTCCTCCAGTTGTGATATCTTGGTGGCTCCTATTATCACAGCAGACACTGTGGGTCTCTGAAGGAGCCAGCGGAGGGCGACTTGAGCCACGGTTTTACCTGAAATGTCGTGGACGTGCATTTGAAACAACAATTAACGACAGGGTTCCCATCCCTAGATCCATCTGACAGGATCGATACATCTCCACGGGGTTTCTCGCTAAATTCCTTAGATGTCTGGGACGCCTACTAAAGCTGCTTAACGATAATCATCCCTATCAGCTTCAGCACGCGTGACAGACATCTAAGCCGCTTAAGTTTTAACTTAAGTTTAAATTAAAATTGCAAATAAGCGAGAATCCCCTTGGAGATAGTTCGATCTAAAGTTAGTACGATAAGGTCTGGGAATGTTCTCAACAACAACAACAGTAATTATGATAATAATAACCAACAATAATACGCTGAAATAGAGAAGAAGGCTTTACTTGAAATATAATTGGACGTAAATATGCTTAAGGATATTATCGTTGTTCTTTGCGACGGTGATGCTTGCCAGCAAAATCTGTCTAATGTATTTGTTTCTGTTGGTTTGCAAAGTTCGAAAAATTACGCCTTTCACCTTGAGATAGAAAATGTGTATGACATCATTTTAAGTGGTGTGGCTTTGCATTTTGCCATCCTTGTCTGGCGTAAAACAGTGTACTCCTTATCTGTGTCCTTGGATTACTGCATGCCCGTTCGATTCTATGAAAGCACTTATGGTTTGATCAGAAGAATGTCTTACCATGCTCCTTCCCCATTCTTTCCATGGCTTCCAGAAGGTTCCAAGTCCTGTCATTGTTAAAATGGTCCCAACAGGGGTGGCTCTCCGCTTGCCGTGTCTCGGGTTTCTCACTTGCCCAGCCAATTCTGCTCGCCCTTGGATCGCCTGGTCCTGCCATGTCCCGCTTGAATTTTCCACTTAAAAGACCACTAAAATGAATATTATTTATTTAATTAAACAGAAGTAAATGGCCAGACAACTTATATTCAGTACCCGTCTTTGGCCAGCGAGAAATTTTGTAAAAAAAAAAAAAAAACATGGCGGCATCTCGCATCTGGCCGAAAAAAAAAGAAAAAAGGCCAGTTTTCTTTCTGTCTGGTTGAAACTATACATGTAAGTTGCCTTTCATCTAGTCGCCTCTTCTAAGGTATAGGAGGAAAATGGCAGACTCCTTTTGACTTACCCCTTCAAAGGACTCCATGGTAAGAACGCGATCCCTTCATTCATACACACATCCAATAGTTCATATTCTGTTTCCCGGGTAAACAAGCTGTACTGTTGCTGAAGATGTGAAAAATTACAAACTGTGTCAAACGTCTGGTATAGTGCAAACCGCCTTAATAGCTTTATATTTTTTTAATTATTTATTTATTTATTTATTTATTTATTTTCATTCTTAGAAACTAATGAATACATTTCACTACCCCTGGGTTAGGTACCAGTTTCTCGTTGATTATTCACTCTGTTACAATACATGGTATCCTGGAGGTGTGACGGCCTTGACATTGGATGTTGATTACCAGCATCCCCTACCCTCCGCCACGGCCGTTTATTTTATTTACTGGACTTTTACTCTGACGTGGCGCAAAGAATAACCACAAATTTAAGCTAAGACAGATCTGTGAATATCTATTTAAAAATCAATATGTGGTAGAGGGTAAGCATCTCATATAACACCCCCCCCCCAAAAAAAAAAAAAAAAAAGTTCTCTTAATACGACTCCGCGCACCTGAACCAGTAGTGGATGGCGGCGGGAAAAGTTTGTTTTAGAAATGTGCGTTTTGGTATCCTTTTAGTGGATTTTACTGCTACGTTAGCACAGGCGCGAAAATTAATGAATGCGGTACTCTTTAGGTGTCCTTCTACATTAACGGAAACCAACCAAACAAAGAACGTTATTATAACGATATCATAACCAAAAAACGTTATACAGCGTTCTGTGTTTTGCTGGGAATAAGTTTCACGTACAGCGTGATGCGGCAAGGAAGCTTCGTTTTAACTCCAGGGCCTCCTGTTCTATGTTTCTCGTTGGTAAACCAGTCAATGGCACTTTTGCCATGTAATTGAACAAGGTTGGGGCACATGTTTGGTTTCGTGTTGTTTCGTCCCCTATGTATTTTTGGGAGAAGAGGGAGATTGGTTTAACTCCATTGCTAAGTAGGGGGTCCGTGGGCACGTGAGGGGAGCGTGCTTGCTGTGGCCCCCTAGATCCGTTATGGGACGAAGACATTGCCAGTGTCTGCAAAATGTGTATTATCTGGGGCCACGACCACATTATGAAGACTATCGGTTAACCAAACATTTCATGAACTATACGTGATACAACTAGTTATTAACCTACAGAGTATGATTACACGGTTAATCTTAACTTCAACACAACCCTAATGGTTAATGACTTTTTCCAACCCCGTAAACACCATAAGGGTCCACCAACGAATAGATACTAATAATAAGGTTAATCTAAAATTCAACACATACCTGTAGACAAACGACGCTTTCCAACCCCATCAACTTGACATGTTCCACAATCTTCTGTAGCTGCCACCCCGTCACGTTGCTAACGCCAATATGGCGAACTTTACCGGCACGTACAAGATCGTTGAGAGTGCGGAGAGTCTGTTCTACGGGAGTAGCGTTATCCCATATGTGGGTCTGTAAATAAAAGAAAAGGGCTCATTCGGCATAGGCGACTAACTAGTCCGAGGGGTGAAACATGGCCACCCACTACAAAGCTTGCCGTCTAATTCGCTGGTAGACACTGAATAGATATCCCATGGGGAAGGGTTGGCCATATTTAGCCCTCGGACTAGTTAGTCCCCTATTCTGAATGGAGCCTAATATAACTGACCATGAAACGTGTCGAATTGTTGCTGTTAGTATTAGGATAAAAAACGGGAGCCTGAAAAATAAGTCTCCCGTTTAAATGCATTCAAAGTGAATTGACATGTCAAATCTTAACCACTAAACCCAACCAAATGTCACCATATAGTTTTAAAATAGCTTTACTTTAAGAAATACCAAAATATATCGTTTCATTTTTCAGAAAAATGAGCAACGTGGGTTGGATAAATTTATTTTGTTTCAAGAAATTTACTATTTGGCTGGAAAACAAAAAAAACTTTAATTTTTAAGATCAATGAGCTATGCACACTATGTACAATGTATATACATTGCTTAAACAAACAAAAAGTAATTCTTTACATAGTAGAGGTCAATGTAATCAGTCTGCAGCCTCTTCAGACTCTGTTCCACGCCGTGCATGATGTGTTTTCTGCCCAATCCTACACTATTGTGGTTATTAGGATCCATCTGCAGAAACACTTTCGTGGCCACCACGAATTTCTCCCGATCTTGTCTGAAGCAAAATGAATTCAATCATGAACAGAATATGTCCTTATTGACAAGATTTCTTACCAACTTCAGTATTAAGAGTTGACAGCATTATTGAATATGTTTTTTGTTTTATCCCAAGTATTCAGAATTACTCTTAGCCGCTCTTATTTTTTTCTTGTAATCACGATTTTCACAAATAAAGAAGACCAGAGAGGTGAAGGTCACCTCCTGAGGATGTACCACCAGCAAGTACCAATGCTGTGTAGAAAAGAAATAGTTTGCAGAGAACAATTTTTTGAGTTGGTCTTGTATTAAAGCCTGAGGGCCGACAACCCATGTCTTAAAAGGTAAAATCACGTCTAGTCTCTAAGAAACTATAAACTTTCTACCAGCTGGAGATTGTTAATGAAATTTAAGTAAAGTACTTCTGAAGCCAAGTTCCCACTATCTCCTCGGACTCTCCTCTCTGGTACATGTCGGCCGTGTCCAGGAAGTTTCCTCCTAACTCGGCAAACCTGTCCATCATGGCGTGGGCGGCTGTCTCATTCAGGTTACCGGGCCGACCTTCCTGTTGATTATACACAGTTAAACCATGCTACATGACCAAAGACACACTGGACTTCATACACGTGTATTTTGTAATTCAAATTTTAAATAAGGGTAGGCCTATATATATATATATATTACATGATTATGGTAAAAAGGTTATGCATGTTTAATATGTAAATACAAGTAATGGCCGTTGTCTGTAAAATTGTGTCTGTAAAATGTGTAAATAAAAATGACGGCCGTTATCTGTAAATTTGTGTCTATGAAATGTTAAATAAAGGCGATAACTTGTGATAAAGGCGTTATCTGTAATAGGGACACTGCAATTAAACACTATTTCTGCCATTGGTCCGAATGTTCACTATAGAACCTTCGGACCAATGAACCCTTGACTAAAAAATCGATGAAAGTGTTACCGCTTTTCGGACCAATGAACCTTCGGACCAATGAACCTTTGGACTATCGAGACGCCCCTGAGCACTAAGTAGGAGCGGATCCAGGATTATTTGAAGGGAGGGGGAGTTCCGGAACGACAGGCCTCGGACCCATGGCGTGGGGTGTGGGGGACTCGAAAAGGTTAGGTGTTTTGGAGGGCAAACGGTGCCCTTTGACACGGTTTAGAACTATGATTCAGCTAGTCAAAATTCTAATTTCAAGAGGGAAATATTGGTGTGATATATTTTTCAGAAACCGAAGAGGGGGGGGAGGCAGGACCCCCTGACCGCCCCCCTCCCCCCCCTCTAAATCCACCACTGCTTAATAAAGTGACAAAATATATACAGCTGCTGAAAATGTAATACACTTAAGGATAAGAAGTAACAGTAAAATCGTTAGGTTAAAAATTTAGGTCAAGCTTACTCTTACTAGATCGTAAATATTATACCAGTAATTTTTAAGGATGATCTGTTTACATGTGGTTTAGTTTATCAATTGCTCTCAAAATCGTAAAAAAACTTTTCCGTTATTCTTTTCAGCAAATTACAGTGGACAATTTTTACATTTTCACTTCTATTTGATCATTTCTACATAAACAAAGCAATTTAGTAATTTTCATTCTTACATGTATTAAACCACAGAAACACTCTAAACCATAACCTTAAAATAAAAAATACCTTATGCTCTCCAAATGTCAAGGTACCCAGGCAAATGTTGGACACCTTTAGTCCCGAACTACCTAAAAAGTTGTACCCCATCAAGGAACCCTCCATTTTAACAAGCTCAAATGATGTGAACTTCTCAGTGAAGGAACCAGACTTTTTATCAGCGTCTGTATAAGTGGAGGGCAGCACCCCCTGCTCTTTCTGATAATTTTCTTTCACTGAGTCATTACACCTGTCAATGCGTGTACTTACGCACGTTCGGCTAAGCCAAAAAATATTTGCATATTTATCTCTTTCTAGCCAAGTACATTGACTAAAAATAAATGTCGACTGATCGAGTGACACAATTTTTTAATACATTGAAGAGATAACAAGAATGTGTTTCAGGCTCTTTTTTCTAGAGTAACATGCATATAATCCGATTGGTGGACCACTAAATGAGATGTACTCATAACATGCAAATGTGATTTGAAAAAAAAAAAAAAAAAACGAAAATCCTTCAAACTATACTGTAAAATCGTTTAGTTGCTCATAACATTAATTGTTAAAATACTAAAGAGCAGTTTTGTGCATAAAACTTCATAACTATCAAGAAGTCAAAAAGAACTTGTCAGCGCGATCAAAATCCAATAATCTTTCTGAAATTGTCCAATATTATGCTATTTTAAAGTGAATAGAAATTATGATATTGGAAAAGATTTTTTGGCATATATGTATGTTTCACAAAAGTCAATAGAATGCCATTAATTCGGTATTCCTACATTTATTTCACATAATCAACTTATTACACAAATGTTCACTTCCTTCTTTGTTTAAACCTTATCTCACATTGTTCAATATCATAACCATAATTACCTTAAATGTGACCTTGACCTGAACTTTGACCTTTATAAGGTCAGCAAAGGTCCCCAATACTTAGTATATAATATTATGTTCAACACATGGTGTTTTTTTAGGATCACCTCTTAGGCTTCCCCTACTGACTGGTTTAAAACAGAGATCAATATGTCAGTCTTTTCATTGATGAATTCTTCTTTCCTTGTCTTAATTACCATAATCAATATCACAATACCTTTTTCTGAAGAATCTTTTTTAACATTTAAAGTTGATGAATTCTCCTTTCCTTGTCTTATAATTACCATAATCAATATCACAATACCTTTTTCTGAAGAGTCTTTTCTTAACATTTAAAGGCTAAGCTTCATGTAATACCCTGCACTATAGACTAGAAAACCAACTGTAAGCTGTTATTAAGGCATCAAAATTTAAGTTCTAATTTTGTAGCGCACATGTACATGTATCAGTTTTTTTTTTTTTTTTGTTCATATTGACAAAAAAACTGCTATATAAACACCCAGAAAAACTGATAGCTAATGTCACTGAAAGTGATTTACGTCAAAAATAAAAAAAAATTGGATATTTAGCTGAGCTTAGTGTGAACTTGCAACAAGTTGAATGAAGGCAAGTCACGTCTATGAAAAGTATCGATACCATTATCCATTCTAATATAATAAATATTACAAAAGCAGTCTGGATAGCACCTTGCAAAAGATTAGGCAAGAGGAGGCATACCTACATTGTACAAACCACATGTAATTATCTAGTAGCAAGAGACAAATTAACACAATAGCCCGAGTGGAAAAGCAATATGGTAGCTAAAAACAAGATGGCTGCACTTTTTAGTCTAAAGTTAATACACTGGTGTCTGTGGCAAACATGGACTTTGGACTTAAGGGGAAGGGAATATTAATACAGCTGTGTAGCAAACCTCAGTTTCAGTTCAGCTTTGCCTTAATGTCAAATGATGCAAGTCTAGTTGGATATTGTTTGCTATTCTTCAAACACCTAAGACACTAAACACTCCAATTCATTAACAGATGGGAAAATCCACAAAAGTGAAATGCTTTATTTTTGTTCCATATTTAAGTTCTATTTTTCAATTTACTCTATTAACATGGGTACACATGCAAAAAAAAAAAAAAAAAAAAAAATTGCCAAGACAGAATTTAATCAAATATATGCACAGATATGTTGAAACATATTCCAGTAAGTCTTACAAGACTAAAAATAAAATAATTATTAATACTGTCACTTTTACTGCATAATTAATATTTATATGTGATACATAAAGACAAAAGTCAACACAATGTTAACAACAAAATCCTCTTTATATTCCACTGGTCCTCGAGATCTTATAACCCTTTTCACATTGAAAACAGTTTCTAACCGTACCACCCCAGTTTCAGTGACTGGCTACTGGCTCTTACACATGGGACCCCTAAACGAAAAATGGAGCCCCTGCACTAAGCAAAGCTAGTTAATAGGATTAATTTTGGTTGGTACATTGGTAAGGGAATAACCCCCTAGTGTTATTGCATCTTAAGACCAGTCAAACTGGGCAGTACGGAAAACCACAACGATCATTGTGAAAAAGGCCAAGCAAGACAATTGTGCCCTTACAGTTTCACCTAATTTTCACTTAGATCACACTAATGATTTAATGTTTTAAATAATGACTGGGTTTGATATTTACTTTACGAAAAAAACTGATACCAAGCTTGCCGTGTTGGAGCACAGTGAGATCAACACAACTGAACCTAATTTGATGCATCTTTTACATCATCATTCTCACAAACACATAGTATTTCACAATTCTTTTTTCAAAAAAGGCCACAAAGGCCAAAAGTGCAACACATGGCATTGACATCTCAAGTCTTTTTTTACTACACATTCACCTTAAATGTTGCATCCTGCAAGGATGATAGCACGTCACAAACAAATAGTAGTACTTTGAAACAATATGACGCTGCACTAGAAACAACATGGCTAATGTTCCAAATGTGGGTTTGTTCACAACCAAGCTGAGCTGGGCCAAAATGAGATGTGGCTAAAATATGGCAGGACCCACTTGAAAGCATGCCAAGTGATCCCTGCAGGGACACCATGCATGCGAAACAAGGTATATTGTATTAAGCGGCACGCCATTAAGTGTGCCCCATATTTGAACCGGGGCTCAGTTACTCTACGACACAACTTGGTTGTGAACATAGCCTAAAAAGTTCTGTCCTTAGATTGCATTTACATTTGTGACTTGCAATGGGAGGCTACATGCTGTGCAAAAAACAAGATCACAGTGCACAGGGGATGCATCCCTTGTCCTTTTTTTTAAGTTGAGACCCCCCCCCCCCAAAAAAAAAAAAAAAAAAAAAAAAAATAAATAAAAATAA